TTTCATCTCGTTTTGCCTTTATGTGTTTCTTCCAGGTGAGTCGACGATCTAGGTGAAGTCCAAGATACTTGACAGAGTCAACGTGTTGGAGGGGTTCGTGGCCCAGGGTGACAGCTGGACAGTTGCCTTGCCGCAGAGAGAAAGTTATCTGTAGTGACTTTGAGACACTAGGCTTGATTCTCCATGCTTTAAGCCAACTGTCAATCTTGTCTAGGTGATTTTGTAGGATAGCGGAGGCGGCTTCTGGTTTGGTGTGACTGGCCAATATAGCGGTGTCGTCCGCGTAAGTGGCTGTGGTAACTTGACAATTTGTTGGCAGATCGGCGGTAAACAGTGTGTAAAGGTAAGGACCCAGTACTGATCCTTGGGGAACTCCTGCTGTTATGTCATAAAAGGTAGATCTAGCCTCTTCTTCTTTGACTTGGAAAATCCTGTCAGTAAGGTAGGATTGGAGTATTCCGAAGAATGCATGTGGAAGTAGGGTTTTTATTTTGCAGAGAAGTCCCTTATGCCACACTCTGTCAAACGCTTGCTGAATATCAAGGAACGCAGATGCACAATATTCTTTATGCTCCAGTGATGAGCGGATTTTATCGCAGACTCTATGTACCTGTTCTATGGTGGAGTGGCGCTGCCTGAAGCCAAACTGATGGTCCGGAATGGTCTTAAGGTCATCTAAGACAGGGATTAGTCTGCTCAGAAAACCCTCTCCCAAACCTTCGACAGAACCGGAAGAAGACTTATTGGACGATATGATGGCGCAATATTAGCTGGTTTCCCTTGCTTGTGGATCATAACTATTTGAGAGACTTTCCAGTGATTAGGAAAGTAGGATATTCTGAGAGTGGCATTTATTAGAATCGTTAGAAAAACAATCGCTTTTCTAGGAAGTTCTTTAAGAATTCGTGAAGTAATGAGGTCGTAGCCAGGGGCAGATTTATCTTTGAGTTTTGATATTACTCGTCGAATTTCTCTAGGTGTAGCAAGTTTCAGAGAGGAGTCTTGCTGAAGAGGTTGGCTCATTATTTGATCTATTACCGATTCATCAGATCCAGGAACCGCATCGTTAGGTGTAAACACTGTGTTTAGATGGACAGCGAACGTTTCTGCTTTCTCTTGGTTGGATCTAGCCCACTTGTTATCCAAGGTTTTAATGGGTGGCTTCGGTTGTCGGGGTCGATCGAGATGCTTTGCAGCTCTCCACAGAGAGTAATTCGATATTTTACAAGCCCTTAGAGATTCTATATGCTCTCTAGTTTGGTCATTTTGCCAGCTTTTAATATGTTTGTGCAGTTCTGAGGCCACTTTATTGAAATTTGTTTTATCAGCTGGATGTCTGCTGGTATGCCAAACGCGCCGAAGTCTTCTTTTTTCTTCAATCAGAGACTTTAATGCAGACGTGGGTATGTTTACTGCTACATTTGGGTTCAGGATAGAAGGGGTACACCTCCATGCCGCTTCTTGAATGAGATGCGAAATGTGCTTCGTCGCATCCTCAACATCCTCTGGGCATTTGAGTGGAATTTGCAGCTCGATGTTCTCATTTAGAAAGTCTCTAAATGCGGCCCAATCGGTTTTGTGATTGGTTAGTGACTCATTCTGTTTAAGAAAGATTGATGTAGAGATTGACAATAACACTGCAGTATGATCCGATGTACCCTCTAGACATGACCTGACGTTCAGGTAGTTTGTGCCAATGCCCTTTACCACAAAAAAGTCCAACAAGTCTGGAATTTTATTTGGGTCGGTTGGCCAATATGTCGGTTCGCCAGTAGAGACAGTCGAGAGATGTGATGAATCCAAGCACTTCTTTAGTTCTCTGCCTCTGGTAGTGATGAGTCTAGAGCCCCAGTAGGTATGCTTGGCATTCCAATCACCGCCCGATACAAAACGGCTCCCCAGTGTGTCAAGGTATGCCGAGAATTTATCCTCCGTAATTTTGTGTTTGGGTGGACAGTATACAGCTGAGATGGTAATGTTTCCCGTTTTATCCGTCACTGTTATTGATGTGGCTTGAAGGTAGTCGGATACAAAGGAAGGTTCTTGAAAGTGCTGTATTGATTTTTTTAAAATAATCGCTGTTCCTCCGTGGGCAGTCCCGTCTGGATGGTTGGTCGAGTAGATGATATATCCAGGAATATTAACTTGACTACGTTCTGTAAAATGTGTTTCGGATACAAGCAAGATATCCAATTTATGCAGATGTATTAGCAGTTCTACTTCGTGTTTGTTAGCAGATAGGCCATTAGTGTTCCAGGTAGCCAAACGCAGTTCTATGAAGAGGACAATCGGTCGATTAGTTTAACTATAAGGTTCATCATTGAACTTATTTGTTGAAGGAGTGCGTCAATTTTTTCTGACTGTTTTATCAATAGCTCTTCCATTGCATTAGGAGCAGATGACTGTTGAGGGTAAGTTCTTGCTAGAACATCCGCGTAAGTATTTCCACGATTTTTAGTTGTCTTTTCGCGGCTATGGTTGTTATTCTTTATATCATTAACAGCGGGTTCAGAAGTCTTCTTCAGTTCAGTGGTTGGATATCTGGACGAGTTTTTGTTGCCTCTTTTAAACTTTCTTTCGTGGATCTCTTTGTAGACCTGACATCCCTTGAAGTTTGCTGGGTGATTTCCTTGACAGAGAGCACAAGTAGCTGGAGTGTTACGATCCTTTTTAGGACAGTCGCTTGTTTTGTGTGAAAGGGCACACTTGACGCATCGGTAGGGTCTGGTGCAGTTGTTCTTTGTATGGCCATACTGCTGGCACCTATTACATTGTGGTATAGTGTTGCGTTTTTTTGGGTCTTCGATGATCACTGATGTATGGTAAATCGTTTTGATATCTTTAGCCTTCTTGTTGTTTGGGCTGGGTTCCAGGTTGACAAAGAATGTAGACGTTGGTAATTTTTCAGGACCGTAGCGGGCGTTGATAATTTCACCTACGACTTTGTTCCCAGTGGCAGCGATAGCATCTTCTATCGCAACAAGAGGTGTTGTGTGATGTAGATTACGTATCACAATCCTGCAGCACTTGTCCTCTTTACGGGTGAAAGTATGTCCAATGAGGCCTTTTTCACGAACTAGGGACATGAGGTTTTTGTAAGCTTCTGTATCTTTGCAGTTTATTCTTAGTTGACTTTTTGCCATTAATTTGAATGTATAGTCATAAGGCTTCAAAACTGTTTCAACTGTGTCTTTCAGTTTAGTGACATCTTCTATCCCATATAATATTAGAGGTGGGGGCTTGTTAGGATTCTTTACCAGAGCAGTTGTTGCTGGGGTGTCTAGTGGAAGTACTGCAAATCTGTTACTGGTTGAGGTTCCGCTAACATCAGAGGTGGGAGACACAGAGGTTCGTGGTCTCTTGTTGTTCCTATTTACAGGCACTCTCTGCCATTCCTGTACGGATGGGTTTGATGACGAATCCTTCTGACGAGTGAGAGGGAGTGAGTCGCTAAACGAGGAGCTCCTTGGTCTGTTCAGGAACATACTTTTGTGGAAAGCTTGTTGGACGAGCTTAGCTTTCGGTTTTTCCCCAGTAGCATTAACAGTCGCAGAAGCCTGGACAGCCACTTCTACGATGTCTTCGGTAGCAGATTTCACACTCGGAGGCCCGGGTACCTCTGAGCGCCGGGGGTTGGCCGGATCGCATGACAAATTGCATATCTCGTTCATTTCCATATTCATATATAAAGGGGGGTGGGAAAATAGTAGCAGACGTTTCCCAAGCGCCTGCCCTCAGACTTTTAGGGGTAATTTAGTCCCTCATGGTTACTGATGGCCAGATGTGGGTTACTTGACCGCCGCCCGTTGATCGGCGTTGACGAATTTTACAGCTGCCTCCCTAGGTGCTCTCAGGGGTTAGTGTCGTCTTTCTCAGCCAACCCTCCTCTTTTCACATCCGGGCTTGGGACCGGCAAAGGCAGAGTTAAAATTAGGAAATAAATTTATTTAATACTTTGTTGAAGTCTTTTGAAACTAACACCTGCATCTGTAACCTGGGAACAGTCTACACTGTCTCTTGGGCTATTACAGTTTTTCATATCCGGCTTGAAGGACCATAAGTGTAGCCCTACTGTGATCTTCAATGATAGCATTGTATTGTTACAAAATATATTAAATTCTTCAAATATTTCAAATTGAGAGCCGCAGTGAATGTAAAGAGTAGCCGCCGACCTGGCTGTGACCGCGATGAGCTCAACGCACCTGCATCTACGAGACCCGGAAATAGAAATAATCTTTAATCTTTATTCATATAAACTTGGTAATCCATTTTTGTTATTCCACTTAATGGGAACGCAAGAATGAGATGAGGGAACGCAAGACAGTACAAGAATGAGAAGGAAAGTGGCATATTATTGTTTTACAGTTAAAGCAATGGCAGCTGATTGTAATCGTATTAACTGTATCTACAATTTGTAATCTATTTTAAAAGACTAACAGGTTCCAAAACTTACTCTAAAAGGGCTTTAAAAGCATCTGGTCGCACATCTAAAAATGGTATAGGATCATTTCTTTCCGCCATTCCACAACATTAACATTGTTTCGAAGACAGATGATGCCATGGCTAGGATGAATTAGTGCCCACCAAGAAGGTGCAATCAGAACACTGGCCTGTCTCGAGAATATTAGCACCTCGCTGTTTCATCTCGACACATCCTAGCTGCCAATCGTTAGGCACTCCTGCCATTCTCTCTAAAGAATTTACTCTCGGAGAATTATTCCAATAGATGCGCTTAAATTATATAATTATTGAAATTAATATTACCAAATATAAACAATAACAATAGATCATTGTAATTCATGTCAACATGACGTGTGTAATGGTAAGCATGTGTGTCAATTATTGGTCAGTATTAAGCAGCCCAGAAACTGTCAAACGATAAATACATCAGTCAGAGTCATGTAAATAATGACAATATAACATCTGTGTGTAACGAAGGAAGTCAAATTATATTAAACCTAATTTAATTAATTCATTAATTAGAAATCTTGTGATGAAAAATGAATTACGAAGAAACAAAAGCAGTGGTCCAGGAGAAATTTCTTTCAAGTGAATTGGTTACAGCATTCCTTTGCGATGCGAAAATACTCCATCCCGAATGGGTGAAGAAGGATAGGTTGCTGTGCATTGTAGAATACGGAGACGAGAAAGCCGTGTTTTGTTTATTCACGTCTAGTTACCCGCCTCAATCCTTCACCGATTTATCTATAGAAATAGTGCTGCCCATCGACATCAACTTTAAATGTGAGATTGATAACAAACCATCAGATCCTGAGGCAGTCCTGTACCTGAATTTGCAGTCAAATAGTAATAAATATAAGTTCGAAATTCAAATGACCCCGCGCGTCGACAACTTTGTGGATGATCTCTTCAGAGGGATAGAAGCCGTAAGTAAAATGCCAACGCAACCTGAGTTTGTATGGCTAAAAAAGTATCAAGGTAAGAATGAAGACGACATTATTTCCCAATTGTCAGTTGTACCTAGAAGCGGAGCCACACATTCACAGAGCTCCGCTCCTGTAGCTATCAGGGAGAGTCTAATTAAACGAAAAATGTATGATAAGGAACTTGAATACACATATACTAAGACATTCACTGTGTTCTGTGGCACTTGGAATGTCAATGACAAATCACCAGTAATATCTCTGGAGGGGTGGCTCAATGTGGATGAAGAACCACCTGATATATATGCAGTGGGTTTTCAGGAACTTGATTTATCTAAGGAGACATTCATCTTTGATCAAACTGTTAGAGAAGAGGAATGGTCAAATGCTGTTGTACGTTACTTGAATATACGAGCTAAATATGTCATATTGGAGAAAGTTAGACTAATTGGTATGTTGCTGATGGTTCTGATCAAACAGAAACATAAAGCCCATGTACATAATGTGGTTTTCGACACAGTGGGAACAGGAATAATGGGCAAAATGGGAAACAAAGGTGGTGTGTCCATACGATTTGACCTTCATAACACATCTATATGCATTGTAAACTCTCACCTGGCTGCCCATGTAGAAGAGTATGAAAGACGAAATCAGGACTTCAGGGATATCTGCAATAGAACAAGATTTCAACAACTGAATCAGCAGGCCAAAGCCATAAAAGACCATGACCAAATATACTGGATAGGTGATTTAAACTATCGCATTACTGAGATGGATCCAAACACTGTAAAGCAACTTATTAATGAAAATAATTTTGAGGCAGTCTTAAAATATGACCAACTAAAACAGCAACATAAGAACAATAGTGTGTTTGCTGGCTATACAGAGGGTCCAATTACTTTTAAACCTACATACAAATATGACCCTGGCACTGACAATTGGGATTCAAGTGAGAAAAATCGTGCCCCAGCATGGTGTGATAGGATATTTTGGAAAGGAGATGGTATTACACAGAAAGCATATAGAAGCCATCCTAGTTTGAATATAAGTGACCATAAGCCAGTATCTGCTATCTTCAACTCAATTATTAAGGTAATAGATGAGGAAAAATATAGAAAAGTATATGAAGATGTAATAAAACAACTTGACAAACTTGAAAATGAACTCATACCACAAGTTAAAGTTGATATGAATGAAATAGATTTTGGTACTGTAAAGTACCTTGAATTGCAAATGAAGACCATCACAATAAAGAATACTGGAAAATTACCTGTGGAATTTGAATTTATTAAGAAATTAGATGAAGCAAGTTTCTGCAAAGAATGGCTCATTGTTGAGCCTTATAAGAGATGTATTTGTGCTGACGAGTCATGTGAAATAATATTTAAAGTACATATCAATAAGATTTCTGCTTGCAAACTCAATGCAGGAACTGATGAATTGTATGATATTTTAGTTTTGCATTTATATGGAGGGAAGGATATCTTCATAACTGTGACTGGAACATATGAGAGGAGCTGTTTCGGGTGCTCAATAGAGGTTTTAGTCAACCTCAATATGCCTATAAAGGAGGTGCCTATTAAGCAACTAGTTGAATTAGAAAGCAAAAGGCACCAACCTGTATCAAGCCAATCCACATATTCAATACCCAAGGAGGTGTGGTTCTTAGTTGACCATATATATTTACATGGACTTAAACAGCCCAACTTATTTGAACAACCTGGTCTGCATTCTGAAATTCTACAAATTAGAGACTGGCTAGATTCGGGCTCGATGGATCCTATTCCAGGATGTATACATTCAGTTGCAGAGGCTCTCCTGCTGCTTTTAGAAAGTACTGCAGATCCTATTATACCATACAATCTTCAGTCGGTGTGCTTGAGGGCATCTGCAAATTATTTACAATGCAGACAAATTGTCTCACACTTGCCCGAATTCAGAAAAAATGTGTTCTTATACTTGTGTGAATTTTTACAAGAAGCATTGCAGCACAGTGCCGAAAATGGATTAGATGCTAACACTTTATCTTCACTTTTCGGAGCAATATTCCTTCGGGATAATCCAAATCAAACGCAAGAGCCCCAGTCTCGAATTAACAAACAGGTGATAGAAAAGAAGAAAGCCCAGTTTGTACATCACTTCTTAGTTAATGATCACAGTGAATTAATTTTTACTAGATAATTTATCAGTTTTTCAATAATTTAATATTTTAATTTATTAATCCAAATACTCACTACTTTTCTATTAGTATTAACATTTACCATTTCTTTGTTGTAATTGCTGTGGTCACATGAATGTGTAGCAATTTGTCTAGTTTGTACATAAACTGAGTCTCAATTGCATTATTTATGAATTAACAGTGTTATTGCACTTAGTAATGAAAAGATAACATAATATGATTAAATAGTGTGCCCCATTGTAATTTGAAACATTAATAATTGAGAAGATTACTTTTATACCTATATTAGGTAAAGCACTTAGAATATATACATAATATTATTAAATTACACACGTTATGTGTATAATGTAGACACATATGTGTTACTTTACCTGTAGAAACACATGTAAAGTAACACATATGTGTCTACATTAATAGAGAAATGACATAATATTTAGCTTCATATAGTAATCGCACCAGGATCTGTATTTATATAATATGCCAAATCCAATTTGCCATAAAACAACCACAGTTATGCATTAAGCAGAGTGTATGTGTATGTATTTTAGCTGTGTATAGCATTTTTGTATACCTACTCTAGGTACGACCATATACTGGTACAAAAATCTTGAACATTAAGGTTTAGTTTTAATTTTACATGTTATATGAGGATGGGAATATGTCGTAATTGGCTCGTATGTTGTACGAAACTTGACTAGTAACTTAAAATAGATTGTGCTTCCTCGCGTATTTCCGCAGATTGTTTTAAAAAAATCATAGGTCAATGTTAACTTGAAACGCATTTATCAGAATCTCGTCAACTATATATTCATTAACTAGCTGTGCATTACAAGGAAGGCGTAGCCTTTCTGAGATCTGCCATGTATTGATGATAGTAAAAGTAAAAATAAATCATCAGTAAAACAATAATTGAAACATCCATATGGCACCATCTTATATTTATAAATTGGTTGGCGTATTGAGAAATATTTGTAAAAATATTTATTTCAGCCCTTTTGATGTATTTTGCTCAGCTTTCAATCGCCTGTGTATAAACTACGTTGCTTTATTACTTAATAAAAAAATGTATTTATACGAATATAGCTTGATAGTCAGACATACAGAAAATAAGACAAGAGCATTTGGCGTTACATTCTTTATGCCTACCTAAATTGAAAACAAGCTGTTCAAGCTCGCCCAAGATCCCCGTCCAATTCAAACGGGGATCGAAATTACGATGGCCTGAGCCGAGGTTCAAACCCCTATCGGTTCCCTCAGACTAAAGTCATATCCGTCACGCAGGAGTAGGCCTTCGCCCGCTCCAGAAGTCCTTCGGGTTTAGATTGTCATCTGCACTCGTCCCCTATCATTCGGTGAAGCTGTAAAGGCCAATTTCGGCCAACAGTATTAGAGGAGTTAAAAAAGCTTTATAAAGACAAAAATCAACACCTATAGAGACACTAGGACGTTATAGTACTTAATTTGTATTTTTTATTATTATTAGGTAACTGGACTACTAACATTATTTACGACTAACGCTATGCTCACATTTTAGTCATATATATTTAGGCTATACAAAAACAAAAATATGGTTGTAATCAGTTATTAATAATAATACCTGTACCTAAATGTTGTGTGTTAGTTTTTATATTTAGTTGTTTATTGAATATTTTCCCATAACTAATATATGTATATAAGAATGTATAAAATTAGTGTAGCCAGAGTAGGCACTTTTATATATAGTAAAGACAGAAATATAATATATTTTCGTGAATAAATTTTAAAAAATGTATCGAATAATAATTTACCATAATTGTATGCCGAGTACCTATAAAATAAAAAACTTTTTAGGTATAGATACAAATAATAATTTCATTTATTTTCCGAACAGTGTCTGCAGAAATAAGTGAGAGATTAAAAAGAAACATTCCAATTATCTTGTTTACAAATATCTGAGACAAAAATACTTTGCGTAACAATTTCATTTACTAGCATAATAACAATTATTTTAATATAAATTGCCAAATTTATCTTCCTACAACTGCTGTAGTATTTTGAAATAGGAGCAATAAACCACTACCTCACGCGCTCTCGAATATTTTTTTTATATGTTACTATTTATAAATAATAATACCATCAAACACTATTTCATCATATTAATATAATTTTAGTTTTAATAAGGGTACCTATTTCAAGTCAAGCAATTAATTTGTTAAATTGTCAAAGACAATGAAATAACTAGGTTTGGAGTACAGATGCATGATATCATAGTCCCCCAGAATGACAATCCAAGGGTGATCGGTATCATGAGATTCATATGATAACGTGATACCCGAGGGTACATTTAGGTATAGAGGCTACGGCGACTATACCTCCGATCGATCCCCCGTCCAATTCAAACGGGGATCGGAATTACGATAGCCTAAGTCGTGGTTCGAACTCATAGCGGTGCCCTCAGAATAAAGTCGTATCCGTCGGGCTGGAGTTGGCCTTCAGCCGCTCCATAGTCCTTCCGCGGGTTTGGAGTGCCATCTGCACTCGCCCCCTATCGTCGGGTGAAGCTGTAAAGGCTAGCTGCGGCCAACAGCATTAGAGTAGTCCGAAACAAAAATTGGCATCAGGTGGGTCGTCAGTTTCTAAAATATAGACATAAAATGTATATCCTGCCGTTTGTAAGTACTTTATGATGTTTAAGAATGTAATAACATACTAAAACGCTATGCAAAATATGTATTGTTTATTTTTTCTACTTATATGATTAAATATATGTATGTAGTAGGTATATTTTGTCATATAGACAATTTGTTGTTAATTTATTAAAAATGTATAAGTATTTGACTTGTGAATTATTCTATAGTTGTTATTAGATGTTTATGTTACCTATGTTTCACACGCTTGAAATTTATAGCCTATATGTTATTCTAATGTATAAGCTATAATACTGTAAAGTTTCATCAAAATCCATTCAGTAGTTTTTGCGTGAAAAAATAACAACCATCTATCCATACTTACACACTTTCGCATTTATAAAATTAATTAATAATAATAAGATAAGATAATGCGTGCTTCTAATGACGCAACAATATGGTGGCAGATCGTAACGTCATTTCACGGGCGATAGCACTAGCCAGTGGCCACCATGTCATAGGCCCCTGGTGCGTATGGACCCCTGGTCAAGAGACTTAGCAATAACTAAATAACATTACATAATTTACGAAAAAAAATATTAAAACATGTTGTATACTATGCTGTATAATTGATATAGATTTTTAACTATCCCATGGATACTCTTTAATTTTCCGTGATTAAAATATGTAAAATCTTGATCGGGGATGCTAAACTTCATTGATACAACAGTTTCGGAGAGCCGGTACAAACAGACAGAAACAAAAATTAACTGACTCGGTTTATGGCGTTTCGTTCCTATGTACAGATACCTATTCGACCTCTACAGTTTTATTGTATGTATAAATTTGTTAAAATTACATTAGAGTGAAGTACAACACTTTGTTCGGGTAACGCAATGCATCAAGAAACAGGCTAAGGTCACTGACCATATTTCCTCTAATTCTAGTAATTACAATAATGGAATGATTTACCTTGGCCTAGACATTTTTATAATATTTATGTAGTATTTAGATGTCAACTAATACAATATTCTTAAGTTTTTTTAATCGTTTGTTATAAGATATGGCAAAGTCATAACAATCAAAGATTTTATGTTACAATTTACCAATTTACTAATGAGTGAAAATGGAACGGTGCGTTCTAATGGATTACTCTGGTGACGCATCCTTGGAGGATTCTAAGACAAAGGTAGGCCAGTCATCCCAACGAGCCTTTCGAAGAGGAATGATTTAACGTGGTTCATTTCTAACAATAAGGCTACTAGTTCCTAGCGTAACTAATAATTCCTTTCTCTCTCATTTCACCCAACCCTGAGCATTAAGTGTTTAAGTAAAGCTACTAGAATTGTATAAACAGGGCATAGATAATAATAGTACAAAATGTATACAGCTCTCTTAATGGTAATCGGTTAGTAAAATACCCGATTAAAAAATGAGGACACTTACGAGGAACAATAGAGATTTTAGCATTCGCTGTGCGATTTTTATTTTATGTTCATTCACAATCAGCAAAACAGTGCGAATTAACTATTTGCTAAGATTTTTCTCAATAGACTACAGCATGGGCTTTCTCAAAAAGGATAACCGTTCCAACTGTATCCATAATGTACCTTTAAAATTCCCGGATTTTGATAAGTTGTCCTCACTTCTCGCTAGATGTCTCTGGTACATGCTTTTTTTTTTTAAAGTTCGACCACAATAATAGCTAGTTTAATTCTTCTATAATTTTATTACTTGAGAAAATTTTGATATGTCATCCAAAAATGAGCATTCTAAATATTATTTATATTAAACATATTACTGAGTTAGTAAAGTGGAGGAATGAATTTGTATTTCTGAACGCAAGCGACTCTAATCTCTATAGATCACGGGTCGATTGTAATCGAACAAAAGAGCGGTAATTACGAATTCAACCAATCATGAAGCCGCATTTGATTCTTTGTCAAACCATTTGTTCAGAACGTCTGTCAGAAAACAAATCTTATTTACTTCATTTCCTGTCTTTCTTCAGACGGTTTGATTATTTGAAATAACTGTTTCAACGTTGAAATTTGTTGAGAGAACTTAAAAAGTGACTGCGTCGCTTGAATCATTTAAAATTGTCCAGTCTACTGTGTGCAGCAGACGTCCTAAGCAAACAAAATAAAACTTTGTTCCAAGTTCTTTGTGTAGTGCATCTGCATCCTATTTGAACATCAACGGTGTATACAGTCATGGAAGTCGCAACAAAATGTAAGTACATTATTATTATATTTTAATTACTTTATTAGATATTTCCAATCTTTTCATTTATTTATTGCAAAATTAATTAAACCGCAGTTGAATGAACAAGCACGACATCGTAAATTTAAAAGCGCAACTACTCATTTTATTGTAGCCAAAAATTTTACCGCTAATTAGCAAACTAAATATTATTTCAGTATACGTTATAAAAAACAACTAATTTATTAATATTTCAATTCTTATCTATATTAAAAAAATAAAATGAGAATTTCTTTACATATATTTAGTGTATATGTAGATGTATGGTAAGAAATGATAATAGTTCTCCAGGTCGATTTAAATATTACTATTTTCAAGACTTGTGGCTTGCTCTAGCCTATTATAAGATAGATGAATTTATAGATGATAGCAATATATAGCAAGAATAAGTTTATTTGCGGACAACGTTATAATTTTAATTTTCATACTGCTTTCTTGATATATGATAGCGTAGCGGCTTTTGTATTGATTGCCGCATGCATCCTTATGTAAAGTGCGAATACTGTAACTACCATATAGTAATTTTTATAGCTGTGACGTGGTCGTGTGGAATGAGTAGTCATGCTCACTAAAATGTCCAGACATGTGGCGGCGTGGTGGGCCGGGTCAATGGGCTCCCTAAAATATGGTCGAGCGCAGTGATGGCTGGCTCATCCGTCATACTCGTGAACGAGTGCTGCTTGTAGGGACTGGTCTGCTCTTATCACTACGACTGATTTAATCTTATTGCATATTTATATTTGACCCAAAAATTAGTGCTTGTTGGTAGTTTGTATTCACGTTTCGACTTGTAAATGTAAACTTACAAGGATTATTTAAAAGAGCAACACACAAGTTTCTTGTGTTCAGACAGCTTTCCGAACGAGTGGTAAATAACAAATTGTTATGACTATTCAAAAGTGCTTAAATTAAGTTTATTTGAATAAATGATTTTCTATTCTATTCTATTCTATTCTAATATGCATGCATAAAATATTCATTATTTATATATTTATTATTCACCTATATAAAACAAACCAATAAAAATTTGTTTTATAGTGTTTAAAAATAAATAGAATGCAGTATAATATAATATAATAAAAAATATATAAATATTTTATATTATAATTTAATCAACCCAAATTTATCCTTATTTACCTTTTCAATTACTTAGTACATTACATTTGTTTATATATGCACAATTTTTCTATGTTCAACTAACTTAATGCCAACAGTGTTGTGACCGTGAAACCAATTATTATTGTTATTAGCCCAAATGAGAGTCTGAATGTGGAAATAGTCCAATGTACTATAAAATTGCTCAGAGTAAATAAATAAAATGAAAGCAAACTTTATGGTTTCAGAAATAGGGTAGATAGAGGTACTCACACAGGCTACTAAAGTTTCCCTCTGGTGGAAATAATTTATTTTTAAATATCACAGATTGTCATAAGTATCCCTTTGAAATCACACAGGTCACTAAAGTGTTTCCCTTTAAATAATTTATTTTTAATAATTTAAATTTATGTCAAATATCACAGACTGTCATAAATATCCGTTTGAAATTAATATTTATTCTGAGCATTTAAAACTATACTGTCTCTGTGACATTATTTGTATAACCTGTTAAAAAAGTTACCCCTAAAAAAGGGTAAGTTGTTATTTTATTAATTCAGCCGTCTATCTTGTGAATATTATAATTGAGAAAGTTTGTAAGTATGAATGTTTATTACTCTTTCATGCAAAAGACTACTGAACTAATTTTGATGAAACTTTACAGTAACATAGCTTATGCATTGAATAATAATATTCGGATATAATGACATCTTCCTTAACTAATCTCTATCTACCCTCATTTAGTATACCCATTTTAAACACCCCTTTACAGTACAAAAGTCACAAAGAAAAATATTTCTGATACCATTTTTTTTTCTCCTGTATAGTACAGCTATTTTTAATATATAATTATTTACAGTTTTGGTGTTAGAAATTGTAATTTAAAGATATAGATATCAAAAAAAGCTTTATTTTCAAAAGTGCTTATATTAGTGCTTAGTTTATTTAACTTAAATTCTATTTCTATTAGTTAATATCTTTAAAGCAATTGTCAATATAAATCAAAACTAGCTGTTACGCGCGACCGCGTGCTTTATTTTTAATTAAACAAAAAAAATCCGACAATAAAAGTAGCCCTAGTTACTCTGTATAATATGACCTATCAGCGAGGGAAAGTCTCATCAAAATCGGTTCAGCCGTTTTAGATATCGTTAGCGCAAGCAGATGCACCACTCCATTATCATCCATATCGAAAACATGAACAAGTAAAGGTCACAGGGGGAAGGGTATTGTTGGTAATGTGGACTAATAACCCCAATGTACCATGTACCATGTCAGCTTGACCTCCACGCGATTCACCCCTGGAAACCATCGTGTTAAATTCCTGGACAATATGCCATGATGGGTGATTGACATGACCTCATGCTCATTTCGTTGTCATCCACTGGTCCCAGCGTAAAACCGTTGGCGAAAGCAGATTCACCTTTCCATAATATATATACATCTATACATATAAATAAAATTGGAGTGTCTGTTTGTAATATTGAAATAACCGTTTTTCACTACATACACCAAAATAACATTTTTACAATTTTTGTCTATCGGTCTGTCTGTCTGTTCCGGCTAATTTTATGAAATGGATGGACCGATTTTGATGGTACTTTTATTGGCAGGTAGCTGATGTAATAAGGAGTAATTTAGGCTACTTTTATTTTAGAAAAATAAAGTTATAATCCACGCAGACGAAGTCGCGGGTGATCATCAATAAAAAAATAAAGAGGAATAAACAAAGGTCACAGAGGTAATTATAGGCATCGACAATATTTTGATAATGACTGTGTGAAGTATCGAATACATCACGACGACCGTTAAACGAGTTCCAATTTTAAGGCGACGCCGTGATAAACTATTACTTCAAAATCGGGCCCCGCGCTCTGCGCACCTCATGCACCCCGATAGTTTTACGTGTCGCCGATCGACCGCCAGCGCTCGCTCGCTCTCCCCGTACCACGATATCACGAACACGCGTCCGTGTCGCAATGTAACGCGTGAATCAAGTAGACGAAGCTTCGGTCCCCAATTGAACAAAACTATTACGGAGTCTTCCTGTTTGTTTATATAATTTATATTTATGAAGGCACATTGATATTTTAGAATTTACAATACAGTGGAACTAACTACGATACGAATTAATTAAAAAGATTCTTAAAGTAAAGAATTAAATAGAAATATTGAGGTAGAGTTACATATTCCCGTGATTATAATTAACGTAAACTAGTGCTTTTATTACTATCTTTGAAAGAAATACCAAAATATAATCTTTGTGTTTTCCATATATATTGTAATTGGTAATTACGACGTTTATTTATTTGCCAACGACATTTTTTTGAAACAGCTAGATATTTTAATGTATACTACATTAACGTACTTACGTTAAATGAAATGTGAAAATATACGAAGGTTAGTTACTTTATAAAAGAGACAATAAGTCTGCGTTTCTGTGAATGATAGGTATATCAATTAAAAAATCTATATATATTATATATTTGATACAATAAACCTAAATTTAGTAATAATGTATGTGACTTTAATTTTATTTATTTGATACGCGTAGTGGACATTATTTCTTTATGTTTTAGAAAGTATATTTTTAAAAATGCGTAAGTAATTTAACATTATATGTAAGTAAAGTACGTAAAGATATACACTTTATGACAAAATAGTAAAACTTTTACAGTAATTTATAAATTATTATAATAAATATTAAGTTTTAATTACATGTAAAAAGGACGTAAACAATTACAACCTAATCATAAAAGATCTATTAACTTCATACAAATGAAATTATTGAATAATTATAGGTTTGAACATGATTATTTATATTTTTATGCATAATTTAATGACTATTCTGCAAACCTTCTCTATATAAACTATAAGTACGCGAAATTTCATATTCATCCGTCCGCGCTGTTTTTCGTAAAAAAGATAAAAAGTTATTACGATAAAAAGAAAAGGATAAAAAGTTGTCACGTATTAATACATACGTTTTAATAAATTTATATAATACTTTTCATTATTTCACTTTTTTATTTATTTATTTCCTTGGACCTACCAAGGAATCTTAATTTTACGGCAAAATAATAAGGGAGATGGATAGTGGACATGTTTGCCATGAGTGAGCGAGACAGATATGACGCCACTTTTACCAAAGGCAACAAAAGTAAGTAAAATAATTAAAATAAAGAAAAATCTTAACCTAGTTTAGGTTTATTTAAATAAGGATAATATTGAGGAATAAAAGTTTGAACTCGTTGTACGTGAAACGGATGCATTTCGGGTATTTGTAAAATACGATGTGCTGTGCTATTACAATAAGAAAGAACGGGAAAAAGAAAAAAAAGAAAAAAGAAGAAAAGTATTTTCGTTTGTGTACAAACGAAAATATTTTGGTCATCTGCGACCTTTTGCAACACTTCTTCCTCGTAAGGAAAGCGAGTTCTACCTCCAGCCCGTATTTGATTCGGGAAATGGCCGCCCTCCGTGAGTGCGGCCGGTACATATAAGCAGTGATCTGGATAGCGCTCTAAATTTGGATATCTTTCACGATAAAGCCTAGCGGCAGCAATTGCATTGCATCTGCATTCCTCATAAATGAGGTGCTTGTTCGCAATTTTTTGTGAAGTAAATAACAAGGATACCAACACAAAAGTCCAATTCCAAAAGAGACAACCCAAAGTTGTCGGTATGGAATCAACAAGTTCAATTCACAAAAATCCAAGTCCAAAAAGAGAAGCCAACAACAGCGAATACGGAAAGACGCGCAGTAGGCTGAGCTGAAGCTGAAACAGAATGAGCAAAATGTACTAACTGGTGTCAGACTGGTAGCGTAGCCATTTGCTTGGTATGGCGACTGTATCTGTTTCATTCGCGCGCGT